TCTGTTTGCCAGTATTTTATTTAGTATCTTTGCATTTACATTAATTAATGAGATTGGCCTGTAGTTCTCTTTTTTGGTTGGATCTTTCTCTGCTTTTGGTATCAGTATAATACTTGCCTCCAGAAATGACTTAGGGAGAATTGCTTCCTTTTCAATTTCATTGAAGAACTTCAGGAGTGTTGGAATTAAATCTTCTCTAAATATCTCGTAGAATCCAGCTGTGAATCCATCAGGACCTTGGCTTTTCTTTGTTGGTAAACTTTTAATCACATTTTCAATTTTATTCATGGGTATTAGATTATTCAGGATTTTTATTTCTTCTTGATTCAACTTTGGTAATTCATGCATATCTAGGAATCTGCCCCTTTCTTCTGTGTTTTCTGTCCTATGGGAATAACGATTTTCAAAGTAGGTATTGATCTTCTGAATTTCTATAAGACCTGTATCAAAGATCTGTAACAAAGATGGATAGGAAGTATCAACATTTTGAAAATAGCCACACTTCCAAAATTATTGTACAGATTCAATGCAATCCCAACTAAAATACCATTAGTATACCTTACAGATCTGCAGAAAACATTCCTAAACTTCATCTGGAACCAGAAGAGACCCTGAATAGCAAAATTTCACCCTTTTTATTCCTTTTGCATGAATTTGAGTTCTTCCCTTTTTTGATAAGGTTGGCTAGGGGTTTATCAATTTTATTAATTCTTTCAAAGAACCAACTTTTTGATTCATTAGTTCTTTGTAGTGTTTTCTTCATCTCAGTTGCTTTAATTCTGCCCTGCTCTTTATAATTTTCTCTTATCTTTGGGCTTTGGGCTTGACTTGCTAATTTTTTTTAAAGTTTGACATGCAACGTTAGGCTATTCATTTGCTCTCTTTCTGTTTTCCTGATGTATGAGTTCACTACTATAAACTTCCCTCTGAGGATTGCTTTCACTGCCTCCCATAGATTCTGGGAAGTTGTATTTACATTTTCATTTGTTTGTAGATGTTTAATTTTTTCTTTAATCTTATCTGTGATCCATTGGTTCTTCAGGAGGCTGTTAGTTAATTTCCATGCATTTATGATGTGTTTTGATTCTTTTTTGTCATTGATTTCTAATTTTATTGTACTGTGGTCAGATAATATGCATGGGATAATTTCAGTTCCTTTTCATCTAATTAAGCATGTTCTTTGAGATAGTATGTGGTCTATCTTAGACAATGTCCCATGTGCATCTAAGAAGAATGTGCATTCTGATGTTGTGGGGTAGAACACTCTGTAAATGTCTACTAAGTCCATTTGTTCACAAGTTTGCTTAATTTCTGCTATTTTGCTGATTTTTGTTCTGGTGACTTACCTCTTTCTGTCAGTGGGGTGTTAAGGTCACCCATTACAATATTTGGTTTTTCATGTCTATTAAGATTTGTGTTAGATAGTTGCATGTTCCCTTATTTGGTGCATATGTATTTATGATTGTTAATCTCTTCCTCTTGAAGTTTTCCCCTAACAAGTATGTAGTTCCCATCTCTTTTGATCCTTCTTGGTTTCAAGTTCACATTTTCTGCAATCAGAATACTTACCCCTGCTTTTTTCTGGATTCCTATGGCATGGAGAATTGTTTTCCAACCTTTGAATTTCAGTCTATGAATTTCTTTTTTAGTTAAATGTGTTTCTTGTATACAGTATATTATTGGACTTGTTTCTTGATCTACTCTGCCAGTACACTTGTTTTAATTTGGTGAACTGAGGCCATTTACATTAATGGTTATAACTGTTATATGTTGGCTTATCTTTGTCATGTTATTTACCAGCTGTTGGTTTCTTACTTTTAGTCTCTGTTTAATTGCTTTCTCTGCTAGATGATTCCTTTCTATTGTTGTTCTTGAAATTGTCATCATTTTTATCTCTTTGTAGAATATCTTTTAGTC